TTTCAAATATTTGTACTTCCTTTTAAGAGTCTATTCTGTAGTATGGTTTTTCCTTGTGTAAGAATTTTTAATGATTTCCCCAAGTCAAAATCCCTCCTGCGTGACATGGTACACCTCCCCTGCCCAGACCACCTCCTGCACTGGTTCTGCACAATTCTCTTCCACCTGAGGTCTCTATTCCAAGCACACCACAGGGGCTGGCCTCAGCCCTGTTTCCTCTGTGTGAACCCTGCCCCTGCATTCTCTGTCAGTCTTCTATTAATCCCTCAGGCTTCTCCTCAAGAATGACCCTGCTGTGAGGCCTTCCCTCGGTGGGCTGAGGCTCCTCCTCTTCCTCAGGCCTTGAACAGTCTTCACTTGGAGCTGATCTACTCAACACTCCACCTGCTGGTTTATCTGTGAATTCATTAGGAGGAAACTTTCTTTAGGGGTAGGATAACGTCTATCGTGGTGCCCAGGGCTTGGACGACACTTGATGCAAATTTGTTAAATGCATAATTTGAATGCACAAGTAGTGGAAATTTTGGCACCTGGCAGGCAAGATGGATAGATCTTTTGTGTGTGCTTTTTTTTCTACATAACTACAGTTATATTAGACAAAGGCACCAAAAATATACATTAGAGAATAGTTTCTTCAACAAATAATGCTGGTGGAAATCCACATGCAACAAAATGAAATTTTCGTGTGTGCTTTTTAAATTACTATCATGATGATATACAAGACTGGCTTATCTTAGCACAAATCCTAATCTAATCATTTATCCTGACTCACAGATAACTTTCTTTTTCCATTCAATATTATCAATACACTGAAATACTGGAAATATTACTGTTCTAAAGTCTAGTTTATGCATTTTTCATTTAAAAAAGTAATTCAAAAGATATGAGCATGTCTGTTTATGTACCAAGCACATCTAGACACTTAGAAACATGCCCTCTAGACTGAGCAGTCAAGAATGACCCACGTCTGGAAAACAATCGTTAGCCAAATGTAAATGTGAGCAAAGAGTAACAGGTTAGACTCTCAGCAGTCAACAAGAGGGCAGTTTTCAGTCCTGGAAACACCTAGTTAAAGCGAAGGGAAAGGAGGAGAGCTGGGGGGAAGGGCATCTGCTAAGGGAAGTGATGTCTACATGCGCCTTCTGCAAACCTCTTCCTCTGTGGCTGTGTGGGGAGCCAGGCCCCGCTGTGAAGCTGCTCGCTCGCTTTCTTTCTTTCTTTTTTCTTTCCTTCTCTCTCCTTTTTTTGCAGTCTACAGTGGAAAATATTCAAGTTCATAAAAATGAGCTGGGCACAATGGCACACACCTGTAATCCCAGTGGCTCAGGAGGCTGAAGCAGGAGGACCACAAGTGTTTGAGACCAACCTCAGCAACTTAGCAAGGCCTTAAGCAATTTACTGAGACCATGTCTCAATTTGTTAAAAATAAAATAAAATAAAATAAAAAGTGCTGGGGGAGTGGTTCAGTGGTAAAATGACCCTGGGTTAAATCCCCAGTACTGGAGAAAGAGAAAGATTAGGTGAAGCAGTCTATGCATTGATCAAGTAGAAAGTGGTAACAGAGTGGCCGGGCCGGGTGTGGTGGTGCAGGCCTGTCATCCCAGTGGCTTGGGAGGCTGAGACAGGAGGATTGTGAGTTCAAAGCCAGCCTCAGCAAAAAGTGAGAGGCTAAGCAACTCAGTGAGACCCTGTATCTAAATAAAATGAAAAATAGGGCTGGGGATGTGGCTCAGTGGTAGAGTGCCCCTGAGTTCAGTTCCCAATACTCCCTTCCCCCCTCTCAAAAAAAAAAAAAGTGGCAACAGAATAGTGGACAAAAACTAATAACTACAAAACATAACACAAAGCTTAGCTAAAGTTGCCAAACTGCCTATATTCCCTGCACTGTGTTGAGTATTTTAAATTCTTTGTCTCAATCCCCAGGAACCTCCAATGAGGGAGGAGCTATTATTCACCCCCTTTTAGTGCTCAGGAAATTGAGGCTCAGCGTCACCCGAGGGGCTGGTTCCAGAGCCAGCTGTCTTCCTGCCTCACTGGCTGCTATTTGAAGCACCCACAGGGTGAGGCACAAAGCGGCCTGTTCTTCAAAGACCAAAGCCTGAGCGACCGCAGAACTGAGAACCCCTGGCACGTGGTGTAACTGTTCTGATGCAATTCATTCTGCCAACAACAGGCAGTGGGCACCTTACAGAAGCCTGGCACTGTGCTTGGCGCTGTGACAGGGAGGGGACAAAGCCACTGTTCCTGCCCTAGATGGAGGTACAGTGGGTAGAAGTGACCTAGACAAATAAACAAGGGGGAAACTGTGGGAAAGAGAGCTTGCAGTTAGAGGGGTTCTCAAGAGGAGAACCCCGACATCAGGAGATATTCCACAGTGGGTCGGTGGGAACGGAGCCCCTCTGATATTAAAAGCTCCAAACTGTGCTACTCCTGAACTCCCTCATGCCAGGCTCAGCTGGTGCCACGGAAGCTAACGCTGACCTGTTCTCTGCCATCTTCACATGCACATCTCCTGGCTGCTGGGTCCGTGAATCACAACCTCTTCTGAGGGAAGTTCAGCTTCCCTTCTACACTGTTGGCTGGTTGTGCGGCTTAACTCAGGATCTAGGCAGGTTCCTGGCTTGGCTTGGACCCCAGATACCCAGTGACACAGCAGGAATGAGGACTCAGCTCCCTTGGCTCAGGTTTTCCCGGTACTCCAACAAGGAGGGCTTGCTCGTGAAGAGCTAACGCACCCAGCTGTCACTCAGTCCGCCTGGCTTCTTGTTGACTGTATACAGCTCTGTGTGCAAATTATTCCATTAGCTATTGTTCATTGAGTCAGGTGGCCATTCCCCAAGTATCTGAGTGCCCACTGTATGCCTGGGGATTTGGTGTTGGAGGAGACAGACCACATTCCTGCTCCTGGAGTTTCCATTCCATCAGTGGAGACAATTAACCCGTAGCTAACTAAATAAACAGATCCATTAAAGGCTTTGGGCAAGACTCTGAAAGCCATAGGCAGGGCTGGTGATGGAGAGAAACAAGGCCACCTGGAAAGAGTGGTCCAAGAGGACCTCCGAAGACAGACACCTGGGTGGAGAGCCCAATGGGAGAGAGGTAACCATGCCAGCAGCCAAGGCAGAAAATTTGGACCTGGTGAACAGCAAGGCACACACTGAGGAGGGGTGTTTAAAGCCGAGGGTCTGCAGACCTCATTCTCATGTCCCCATGCATGAGACCAGCACTAGACACCTGCTTTGTCACACAGCTGTAACAAGGCCTCTTGTTATTCTGTATACCTGCAATCATTCTTCCAAATACCATTGTTAGGTGGCTGGGTGGGTGGGGTGCGGGCTGTTCATGCCCCTGGGTTCAGTGTGGAAACCAGCATGTGTGGCTTTCCTAACCGGAGACTCCTGTTCACAGTAGAGGATCTTGTTCCAGACACACAAATTCTGTGGAGCACCCTAAATTGGCTGCACACAATGAGGCCGCATTTAAGACAGAGAAGAGGCGGGACTTTGGTTCACGCCCCGTCCCACACTTGTTCACAGGACTGGCTCAGCAGCTGCGTGGACGGACCTCTTAGACACCTCCCCTCAGAGGCCAGGTTTCCAGCAGGGCCAGATTCGCCAGACGCCAACCGGCACCCGCAATCCCACACCAGCTTTATAACAATAGAGGACTTGAGGCCCAGCCAAAAAGATGAACTCCCTGAGCAGATGCCACCAAGGCTCAAATTATACAGAACGTGGCCAACTCCAGGCCTAACAGGAGGAGGGCGCCCTGGAAGAGCGCCCCCTAGAGGCAGCAAAAGGAGATGCCCTTCGCGGGGGCGGGGAGGGTCCTCGAGGGCCAGGGTCCTGAACCCGCGGACCCCCAGCCAGATGACCTAACAGGTCCCAAGTCGGCGAGTTCAAATCCTGCGTCGGGCACCGAGGGCGACAACTTCCTCGTGTGGCCACTCCTGGGCCAGGAGTTGGGACGGTCTTGAACCGTGGGGTTCGGCCTTTCCCGCTGGGCGCCCGGCCGCTCTTCGGAGCCGACGGGAGCGAACAGAGAGAGCAACGCCGAGGCCGCAGCCCTTCCTCTCGGGGCCGGTGTCCACAGCGAGGTCACGAAGGGAAGGTGGATGCCCGGGGGGGAAGTCCGTCTTCTCCGCTGGCCTCCTCCGGACTCCGTGTCCGAGGTAAACTCCACGCGGCGGACATCCCGCGGGGACACCCCTTGGTTCGGCGTGGAACCCGGCAGGGCTGCTTTCCGACCTGGAGACTCGGGTTCACCTTGGACACGCCGCG